ATGAACAAATACTGCTTTTTAAGTCAGTGATTGAATGTTAAACACTGTAGCAATATTTGAATGTATCGCGATGGCCCCTAGATGTTGATACTGGAGTAGGCAAACCAGAGACTGAAAACGTGCTCAACACCATCGGGGCACGATAATACAAAGTAAACAATTATACAACGTCATCACCAGAGAATGACCAGTCTCCGAAACAGATTCCATTGGGCGTGCGGAATCTGTTTATTTCGGAACAAATAGACGTGAAAATTATATGAATTGAGCACTGATTTCAGTGATACCATCGAGTGTTCGCGATAAAGACAGGCATGTCCTGTCCTAAAGGTAGCGCCCGCCATTGACACAATTTGCATTAGACGTCATAGAACATGACCACGCGGTCCCCACTGCCACAAAAATGAGGCTAGATAAAATTTATTCTTTCCGGGAATTCATACAATATAGGTATTTAGTTGTAGTCCATTATGTCAAATAAAATCTCACAAAAGCGCACATTGTAACCTGCGTGAATATGATATTTGCCCGCTTTTAGCCATATTCCAGCCAAATGGCAACTGGTTCCAGCATTAATCGGCTTCAAACGGTGTGCCCATGTGTGAATAGTCATCCAATCTGTGCCGAATGAATACTATGACCGTGTGTCAACTATCCGCCCTATCACATATGCCCTTTTCAGATAATTTCAGCTTTTCTTAAACAAAAATAATTTGTTTAGTTTTTCTTCTGTAAACCCTCGAAGGTTATAACTTTAAAGCCATAACTGATTCATAATCATCACAACATATTGAGACAAGGTATTGTCAAGGTATTGAACATTGTAAGGGATAAACGTCACCTCTTTTGATGGCCTTTCCGGCCTAATAATGCGGTCAGCACTCACGTGGAGGTCGTCCTGCCTGTTGGGTGGCAATTATAGAAGATAACTATTTACGGATATAATTACGATATGATTATTGTAGTAAACGGAAAATGACAGGGCGACATGAAATTACACCTAAGAAAAAAGGTATGAAGTTTGGTAAATATGGGTTAATGAATACATTGACGGATTGATTATGTGTGCACGTACATAAAGATAAATAAATAAATTGAGATAAATAGATAACAGGTGATGTGAGGATGGTCTTTGGTGGAAAGATAGATATATATAATAGATACTGAGACAGATGAATGCGTTATTGAGATAAATGGATAACTGTCATGGATATGGTTTGGTATGTTTTCTTTGTCGTGAAGACTGGGCACACTGTTTCATAAAAGTACCCCTCAAAACATTGATGATCCCTCCCCTTGTGTTCATTAAAGGAACAATGGGCGATGGATAGTTACATTTAGATAGGTATACACAGAGACGTTTACATGGACGAAAGGATGCCGGAATATCACAATTAAAAACATACCAACATACAATTAGTGAAAGAATGATTTGGTTTGGTTTGTCGTTTTACGCCGCACTCAGCAATATTCCAGCTATTTGACGGCGGTCAGTAAATAATCGAGTCTGGACCAGACAATCCAGTGATTGACATCATGAACATCAATCCACGCAATTGGGATCGATGACATGCATCAACCAAGTCAGCGAGCCTGACCACCCGATCCCGTTAGTCGCCTTTTACGACAAGCTTAGTCGCCTTTTACGAGAAGCATAGTCGCCTTTTACGACAAGCATAGTCGCCTTTTACGGCAAGCATGGGTTGCTGAAGACCTATTCTATCCCGGATCTTCACGGGTCAGTGAAAGAATGAAGCATATATAGACAAATTGTTTGTTTGTCAGAGACATGGAAATATACAGTGATACAAGGAAAGGTCGACGGTAAGAATACCTACAGGTCATAAAACAATTTCCTTAATCATAAGAAATCTCTGCTAAAAGTAGAGTTCATTTTACGATTCCGACTATATCACAAGCATGTATTTATGTATCCCTACCGAAGAGTGATGTTTCCAAGTGTTCGCGAAAAAGGCGAGCGTACATATATCCTGCACCATATAGGCGGCACAAACACCTGCAAAGGCAAGTCAATTGTTCAACTAAAACACAGGAATGTCAACATTGCTTTGTTAACATGGAAACTTGTAAGTCCAGACTATTTAATTGCGAGCGACCTGTCTGGTTAAAGATGAGTGAGTTTGGTTTTACGCCGCTTTTAGCAATATTCCAGCAATATCATGGTGGGGGGCACCAGAAATGGGCTTCACACACTGTACCCATGTCGGGAACCGAACCCGGGTCTTCGGCGTGACGAGCGAACGCTTTAACCACAAGGCTACCCGACCGCCCCTGGTTAAAGATGGTTCACTGTAAAGTATGGTAATTGAAATTTTATTTTTTATAAAACACCGACTCCTACTAATGGCGACTTAATGTGTGTTGAGTGAGGGGGTTTGTATGTGGAGGGATGAAATGGAATATATCAAATATCAACAGGGCATGTCCATCAGCATCCTGCCCTTGGGCCAGCTGCGACGTCTGTAACAACATCATCTACACAGAAGTCCATTAGAAACTTAATCCTAATGTGACTGCCTTCTAAAATCAGGCGTTGAGGATGACGAATGTGTTACTGAAGAAACCAGACTTTCGTATCAGGAAGTTAGCCGTAACTAGTGGTTTAATGTTTGTTGATGTGTCATTTCATATTTTTATCATCAAGACTTGTTGTGCAATTACTCGGCATGTACGGTTAGAAAATTGATATACTGTCATATTTAATACTGCATTACGTTTTTGTTTGATGATGTAACAAATGTTGAATATCTAAATCATCTTGTTACACAACGAATCGTTACAACGGATCAGTGGTCGTCTTGATATTTGTCGGGTTTGGGTATATCTAGTGCAGTAGAAACATCGGTTCCCAAGGCCGTAGTTAACGATTTTGACAGGGGGTAGGGGGTGGGGTGGTCAAATATTTGTACAAGTACCACTTGTCCCCAACTTGATTCAACTGATTCAAAACATTGGCAATCGTTGGTTGTGGTGGTAGGGGTCGGGGTGTGAAAGAAGAAAAAGACATATTCGTGTCAACAGCGGTAATGGTCAAAAACGGGTATGGTGCTGACAAATGCAGAAACTTTTTCGGGGCGAACCGGGATTCGAACCCACAATCATAGGTTTCTGGCGTGCCCAAGGGACGCAACTCTGCACAACGAATTGCGGCGCCTTAGACGACTGGGCCAACCGTGCCTCCAAACGTAGGAGACCTGCAAACTTCGGGCTTTCCTCCCACATTAAGCTGACACGCCGCGATAATACTGGAATGCTGTTAAAAGCGGCGTTAAACCCTACTCACTCACCAAGACCGCTCTCTTGAAGTGCAACCTGGCCAGAAAGTGTCCATGTTATCGAGATCGATATAAGAAACGGTAACATGCCGACGCTAGCTTCAGACTCGTTTTAGTGTTGGTGAGGGGAGCCTACGAGACGACTGACTCCTCGCATCATGTCATGTTTGATATGTGATTTCAAACGAGTCAGCAGATGGTTCATCTGTTTTGAAATTGGTTGTAATTACCGTTAAGCTACACCATCTGTTCATTTTCGGAGCACGGGAGATTTACGACATGAGACTGATCCAGCTGACATTTCTAACGAATGTCACCTTTGTCCAAGGGGGGCTACTCTCATTTACAACACAAAGTTCAAGGTCGTAAGGAGACTCGGCAATGAATGATGTTCGACATGAAGCTTCGGTAATTACCGTATCATGTTCTAAGACTTTATGCAGCGAAGTGAGTGAGAGAGTGAGTGAGGTGGGTTTAACGCCGCTTTTAACAGTATTCCAGTTATATCACGGCGTGTCAGCTTAATGTGGGAGGAAAGCCCGAAGTGATGCAGGTCTCAGACGTTTACCACTTCGGTGAAACCCACGAGCACGGGTATGGTGCTGACAAACCTAGAAACATAATAGGGGCGAACCGGGATTCGAACCCACAATCATAGGTTTCTGGCGTGCCCAAGGGACGCAACTCTGCACAGCGAATCGCGGCGCCTTAGACGAATGGGCCACCCGTGCCCCTTTATGTAAAGAAACCTCCACTACTACACTACAAAAGTGGGAGTCCGTATACTGTCTCTATGAATAATTTCTGCCCCAAATAGTCCCGTCCACACGTGATGTTATTTAACACCGTTTAATATAGCATTGTTATTAAACAGGTGTGGTGAGAGAAGTCAAGAGAAGTTAAGAAACGTTGGTTACGGAGAGTGGTTGGATGGGTGACCGTGTTCGACATCCTGACGTGAGAGTTGCTAGTGCTTCGGTCTTGCCCTATACTGAAGCACAGTCGTGTAGCATATTTCTTCTCCTTAGACAAGTGACTTTGTTCGAATTATGCCTCTCTTCACATATTGGTACCCGTAGGATGACACTGTTAAGCTTCTACTGCCTCAGAGGCAGCTTGTATGATCCCTAGGGAGCTGAGAAAGTATTTGTAGTGCACGCTGATCAATTGACCTAGGTGATGATGGTACCAACGCTTTAAGCATGTGTCAACCGATGGCCTTTCTCAGTTTACGAATATCCATTTTGATATAATAATAAAAAGTGCATTTATAATGGGCCAGATTCCATTCTCCGAGTGGATGTTCATAGCGCTACACTATTATTACCCCGGTCAATGGATCAGTGAGCACTCGATTTTCATTCTCAGCTCCCTGGGGAGTATACAACCCAAGCTGTCTGTGAGGCGCTAGAAGGTTAACAGCCACATTACCATCTCATCCTACCGGGTACCCATTCACTGCTGGGTGAACAGAGGCACATTTTGAACAAAGTCACTTGCCTAAGGAGACACCACATGTGGTTCATGTGCTTCAGTGTGGGGCAGGACCGAAGCCCTAGAAACTCTCAGGAGTCAAGCTGCTGAACGTGGTCGACCATCCAACTACTCTCCGAGACCGACGTTGCTTAACTTCACCTGATTTGGGATCTGTGCACTGCGCACAGGACCACGTTTCGCGGATGAGTAATAAATATGTTTACTTACCTAGCAATCTATACACACCTTGGGCTATAGGGATCATTTTAGGCGTTGGGCCTGGTTCACCCCATCGGGATATTTTCGAGTGGTCAACGTTGGTTTTCAAACGAGCGTTATCTCCCTTTAGTTATGTCAGCAGGTACCTGAGGAGAAAGAAGGTGTAGGTCAAGGTCATGCATCCAGTGTGAGACGATAGCCTGGCCGTTAGTAAGATTTGTACAGTTTGTGAAGCAGCACATTAACACAACCAGATGTGTTTTGAGATTCAAGATCCTGAAATACAGTAAACAACGGTTATAACGAACCCAAAGGGACCACTAATTTTAGTTCGTTATAACCGTAGTTCGTTATAAGCATATATACAGCATAACTACAGTTTAGGGACAAAAAAGACAGTTCGATATATCCATCAGTTCGTTATAAGCGTGTTCGTTATAACCGTAGTTTACAGTAGTGGTTACAGAGTAGCAGAGACACAATGCACCCAGGGCATATACAACACATACTATTTCCATATCCAGGAATCGTAATTCAGAATGAAGAGCATTATTCATAAGGACGTATATACTTTATACAAGTCGCTCCTAACGCCGTATATAATGTAAGTCCTGCACACAATATAATATTAATCTTGGATTGCGGTATATAAGTGCAATAATAATCTTGAACGCGACATTTAGCCCCATTTCACCTCACTCTAAAAAAATCCTGTCCATACTACATGTTTACGTTAAAAACGTAAATCAAAGGAACAACGGATCGTCTTGTAGTGGACTTTATATGGTTGATAAGAAGAAAACGGGTCACGCTTAATAAATACTACTCAAAAGAAGTTAAATAATTCCCAATCACATGTTCTTTAACTTCTTTTGATTAGTATACATTTGCAAACATTTCACGCGTCCAAATATTCCTTGAAATTCTGAGTTCAATCAGCAAGAAACACTTAGATTAATAGTACACAAAAAAGTGTAATTACGAGGGGCGTTCAATAAATTTTGCAACTTCAATATAAGACCAAGTCGCAGTTAAATCACCTACCCTACAGCCCAGACTTAGCCCCCAGTGACTATTTCCTATTCTGGCAAATGAAATCTGCCCTACGTGGGAGACGCTTCCAGGATGACGAGGACATAAAGGCTGCCACTGAGGCGTGGTTAGAGGGCAAATCTGCGGATTTCTATAAAAGTGGTATTAAAAGCTTGAAGGACAAATGGAATAAGTGTTTTGAGGTGAATGGAGATTATATTGAAAAATAAAAGTGCAAAATATATTCTGCGACTTGGTCTTATATTCAAGTTGCAAAACTTATTGAACGCCCCTCGTATCACTGAAATTGATATTTGTCAGTACCACGTAATATACTAACATTTTTATCATTGGTTTAAGGTGGTCTCAATACATCCCTTGTCTCACTGTTCCTCAGCAGTTATTGCCGAAAAAACATCTGGGTTAGCACATTAAGCTGAAAACGAGTATTGTAAATATCAATACGTCAGTCTTTGTTGTCAGGCTGTTTGAATGTATGTGATCCACTGTGACTGGCGAGGACTAAAGTACTTTTAACAAGTTAAAACAGGCTGAAAACGGTTATAAACATCAGTTTTAATAGATAGTTCAGCCCGGTATAGATTCCTTGAGCTTCAAAAGCAATCACGTAAACTGATCTCAGTAGAGTCATGTCCCGGTAAATCTTTCAAGATGACATCAAACAGCACTAGAACAATCAGTTGGGAGAATGAGATACGCATCTTTGAGTGATTTTTAGAACAAAAAAGACACAGCCATGATTTGTTTAAAAACAATAAAAAATAATTGAAGTTTGTTACGGCAATAGGATTGACTGAAAGGTTTAAACTTCAACCTTGAACAAGGTTTTGTGAGAAAGATGCGACAGTGTTCATGTGGTCTTCTTCATATAATAACTATTTATCTCTTTGACTTGTTAGTACAACTTGTTGCCGTGTGCTTTTTGTGAACAAATGACATGCCTCTGCATGTGTTTGTGGCCTGGGTACCCGATGAGACTGGATACTGTCACCCTTTCCCGAAACCCCAGTGCCTTCACAATTTGATAGTGTTTCATAAACACATGCTTGTGATAAACTCGGAATCTTACAACCGACTCTGTTTTTAGCAGAGCCTGATGACAAATATGAAAAAGGTTTTGTCGCTATTTAGTTTTTGATCATGGAAACGGTTTTGTCAATTTTATTGTGACGATTCACGTTGGTTTAGATTTTGTATTGATGTAATGTCAAAGACATGACTAAACGAACCTATACTTACATAAACCTACATGTATGTTTGGAGTCTTCATATCTTTTGTGGATGGCCCAGTCGTCTAAGGTGCCGCGATTCGCTGTGCAGAGTTGCGTCCCTTGGGCACGCCAGAAACCTATGATTGTGGGTTCGAATCCCGGTTCGCCCCAATTATGTTTCTAGGTTTGTCAGCACCATACCCGTGCTCGTGGGTTTCACCGAAGTGGTAAACGTCTGAGACCTGCATCACTTCGGGCTTTCTTCCCACATTAAGCTGACACGCCGTGATATAACTGGACTAATGTTAAAAGCGGCGTTAAACCAACTCACTCACTCACTCATAGCTTTTGTATTCATTGTTATAGATTTTTTGTATCCGTGAAGTGACTTGCAAATATCATGTACATCATCCATTTAAGCTACTGTCTGTTCCGTACATACATTTCCGATACACGTCACTTGTATCGACAGAGTATTCCTGTCCAGACCAGCGACCCGTTCGCTTCACAAGATACGTTAATGCTGGCATTGTGACATTACAGTAACACAGACACGTCGTTGCTCTACGAGTAAACACATCCGAAAATACATAACAAAAAGGTTTTGGATCACGAATATTTTTTTTATATATTTATTGTTGTGAAGACTGAGCACATAATTTCATTAAATATATCCCCAAGAAATTCATGATCCCTAATCATCATCATCATCATCATCATCATCATCATCATCATCATCATCATCATCGTCGTCGTCGTCATGTCATCGTCGTCGTCGTCGTCGTCGTCGTCATCGTCATCATCGTCGTCGTCGTCATCGTCGTCGTCGTCATCATCATCATCATCATCATCCTCATCATCAGTATACAAGGACGTGTCCGACAGAGATATCTTAGCACTACGAGTAGGACAATCTCAACCATTACGACAGTCGTGGTGCTAAGATTGCTTTGTGAAGACAAACATATATTACATCTAGGATTATTTCAATCTACCCTTCAGCATTAACGAGAGTGAGAACGCTATGATCGTTTTGTGAGAAAGATCGTGAGTTAGGTTCTGCCGAGCAGTCTTAACACTAAGATCCTCGCAGATCCCCTCCTTAGCCTTTACGCAGACACCTGGTGTCATTACTGATCTTTACTGTTTCATTCACCCTTCGTTATTTTACCTTTGCGAGTCTGGAGGTCGTGTTGTTCTCTGACGTTGACGTTGATATTTACGGTAATCGAAGTTGTAAGATACTGGGTTTGGTATTTTTTGTTCCGCAAAGACATCTTAGTAATAAGATTATGCTAAGATAATGTTGTTCAACCCTTGTAGCTTCAGTTATGTATGGTTTTAAAGCAGGATAAGGATTATGTCCCAACAGTTTCAGATTCTGAAATGTCATCCCACATCCATATGGAAACTTGTTTGCTTGAACGTAATTTAGTAGATCTTACGAAATTTGCAGGCTGGGAAACATACAAAATGCGGGTAAATGACACCATAAATATCCTGTGAATGCCCGTTAACGTGATGTATTCCTCGACATTTTTAACAGTGTACGTACTCAGGGAAGGCGCATGCTATAAATACTTCTTTCATGGGTCGTAAACCCTAGCCTATCTGAAGAAGGTATAACGGCGAGGAGCTGACGTCACTGGAAATTAGGTTAACTCATTACTCTCTTGTCAGCAGCTTTGAATTAACGCTAGCCGCCATTCCTCAGACCCTAATAAGCTTAAGCTGTTTGTCACGTAACGTTGTCAGGTTTGGAAAATTGGTCAGCGTGTCCCGAGACCCCTGGTCACTCGTGGTCATCACAGGACAAAGGAAATGAACATCGGGGAGGTCCAGTTAGGATGTCCATTCTAATGAAGCAATTACCACCAGCGCTTCCACTGGTCACCTCTCGCCAGTCTTGACCACACTGTCCAGAAATCTTTATAAATGATAGTTATAAGGTTAGCACCGATAGCTTATTGCTAACGGTAGCTTAACTAAGAACCATGGCCAGACGAATAAGGATTTAGTGAAAGAAATTGAAAGCGGTCGTAGTAAGATAGACGACACAAGGGATCTTTGGAAGATGCCGTAAACTAAAGGTGACACTTAATTTCCTCTTTCCTGGGAGCCCTCTTTGGCTATCGAGACACCTCACTTTGTGCTCTAGACGCCGGTCTTAGATGCATGTATTTATGCATACCTATGTCCCGTCCGTTAAATGCCAATCCCTTACGACGTAAGCCATACTGATACAACGGCGTCATAGACCTCCCTACTTCAAACCAGTCTGACAATGCTCTGTCTGAAAAGCAAACTACATTGGTAATTTGTAAAATCTACGAGGACTCGGTATACTAACTGTCGATAAAACCGCATTTCTGTGATTTGAGTTCTTTTGAGAAAAACCTTCGCCGGATTTTCTTGTCGTAAAATGTGCTTCCCAAAGGGGCAATAATGTGGCTACTTCCTGATCAGAAAAGTCACAATAATGGTTATGTTTTTGTAAATGAGATTTAGGAGAGTATCAATACCATTGTGAGATGCTTTCTTATCGCACAACACATCAGGAATTGCCGATGCTTCACTGTACCATTTCTCGTTGTGCTGCATCGGGTATCTTCCTTCTTCCCATTGACTGACAAAGTTAAGAAGGTGAGGTGAAATGGTGTTTTAACGTCGCGTCCGAGATTACAGCACATATCGCGACGTTCATGCATGTATGTGCGTGGATGCTTTACTAGTTCGGACTAATGCTTGTTTTATAGTGCTAGCCCAATGAGATGCCATGTCGCAGTTTAACATGAATATCCTATTCAGACACAGTATACTCCGAGTCCTTGTTTTATCCCCTTGATACCGACCGCCAGGCAGGGTGACAACAAGTATCATCT